GGAGGGGCAGAAGGAGGTGCTGGAGGGACGTGTTCCCGAGAGGAGGACCGAATCAGAGCACTTCAAACAAGGCTCGGAAGGTGCGGACGGGCGTCAAACCCACCCTCGGGTCCTTGTAGCGGTGGCTGAGGCGCCTCAAAAGCAGAAGGTGAAGGAGGAACGTGATGCTGAGAGGAGGGCAGCAGACGCGGACTCCAGAGAAGGCCCTGTCGCGAGAGAGTCTAGTCTTGGGGAACGTCAACCACCGCCTCAGTCACCGCGTCAACCACCGCCCCAGTCACCGCGTCAACCACCGCCTCAGTCACCGCGTCAACCACCGCCTCAGTCACCGCGTCAACCACCGCCCCAGCCAGCGCCTCAGCCACCGCCACAGCCCCCGCCTCAGCCCCCGCCTCAAGCGCACCTGCAAGGCCTGGAGGGTCGGTCCGAAGCCCGTGGGCTGGAGGCACCCTCGATTCGGGAGCAGTACGAGAGGGAGTTTGGCGGTTACCTGCATGGGTACAGGTTCGCGCATCCGTCTGCCGCTGCTGGTGCTGCTGCTGGCGGTGTTGCTGCTACTGGTGCTACAGCCGGAGCTACAGCCGGAGGGTTGAGTGTGGAGGACTATAGGGCTCTGGAATGTCCTCAGCTGAAAGGTGGGCGCGGAAACGACAGGTGAGCTTGCCCTCAACTGCTGCTACAGCCGGTGGTGCCACAGCAGCTGCTACAGCCGGAGGGTTGAGTGTGGTGCTTGTGCTGCTGGTGCTGCAGCCGCCATTACAGCTGGAGGGTTGAGTGTGGAGGAATATAGGGATCTGGAATGTCCTCAGCTGAAAGGTGGGCGTGGAAACGAGTTCCTGCCGTGGTTGACATTGCCTCACTCAATGTCTTATTGCAAAAAGTCGTTGCGGCAGCAGCAGTGCAGGCAAGCCCTTCGTTTTTCATATGGGATACGAATAAGAAGCCTTCTTTTGAGTCGACTCAAAAGCAGCAGTGCAGGCAAGCCCTTCGTTTTTCATATGGGATACGAATAAGAAGCCTGCTTTTGAGTCGACTCAAAAGCAGCAGTGCAGGCAAGCCCTTCGTTTTTCATATGGGATAAGAATAAGAATCATGTTACTCTTGCCCCTTCCACTGTGTTCCTTCCTTCCTTCCTCGCTTTGCAACGAATCTGCGTTAGTACCTTCATCAGGCACCAGCTGCTAAGAGGTTTGTTTTGAGGCGTCTCGCAACATGCCTTAAATCTGCGTCTAATACCTATATTAGGCAGCAGTAGCGCTGCTTTGAGTCGGCTCAAAGCAGGAGCGCTGTTTTGAGTCGGCTCAAAGCAGGAGCGCTGTTTTGAGTCGGCTCAAAGCAGGAGCGCTGTATTGAGTCGGCTCAAAGCAGGAGCGCTGTTTTGAGTCGGCTCAAAGCAGGAGCGCTGTTTTGAGTCGGCTCAAAGCAGGAGCGCTGTTTTGAGTCAGCTCAAAGCAGGAGCGCTGTTCTGAGTCGGCTCAAAACAGGAGCGCTGTTTTGAGTTGGCTCAAAGCAGGAGCGCTGTTTTGAGTCGGCTCAAAGCAGGAGCGCTGTTTTGAGTCGGCTCAAAGCAGGAGCGCTGTTTTGAGTCGGCTCAAAGCAGGAGCGCTGTTTTGAGTCGGTTCAAAGCAGGAGCGCTGTTTTGAGTCGGCTCAAAGCAGGAGCGCTGTTTTGAGTCGGCTCAAAGCAGGAGCGCTGTTTTGAGTCGGCTCAAAGCAGGAGCGCTGTTTTGAGTCGGCTCAAAGCAGGAGCGCTGTTTTGAGTCGGCTCAAAGCAGGAGCGCTGTTTTGAGTCGGCTCAAAGCGGGAGCGCTGTTTTGAGTCGGCTCAAAGCGGGAGCGCTGTTTTGAGTCGGCTCAAAGCGGGAGCGCTGTTTTGAGTCGGCTCAAAGCAGGAGCGCTGTTTTGAGTCGGCTCAAAGCAGGAGCGCTGTTTTGAGTCGGCTCAAAGCAGGAGCGCTGTTTTGAGTCGGCTCAAAGCAGGAGCGCTGTTTTGAGTCGGCTCAAAGCGGGAGCGCTGTTTTGAGTCGGCTCAAAGCGGGAGCGCTGTTTTGAGTCGGCTCAAAGCGGGAGCGCTGTTTTGAGTCGGCTCAAAGCGGGAGCGCTGTTTTGAGTCGGCTCAAAGCGGGAGCGCTGTTTTGAGTCGGCTCAAAGCAGGAGCGCTGTTTTGAGTCGGCTCAAAGCAGGAGCTGTTTTGAGTCGGCTCAAAGCGGGAGCGCTGTTTTGAGTCGGCTCAAAGCGGGAGCGCTGTTTTGAGTCGGCTCAAAGCGGGAGCGCTGTTTTGAGTCGGCTCAAAGCGGGAGCGCTGTTTTGAGTCGGCTCAAAGCGGGAGCGCTGTTTTGAGTCGGCTCAAAACGGGAGCGCTGTTTTGGAGTCGGCTCAAAGCGGGAGCGCTGTTTTGAGTGGGCTCAAAGCGGGAGCGCTGTTTTGAGTCGGCTCAAAGCGGGAGCGCTGTTTTGAGTCGGCTCAAAGCGGGAGCGCTGTTTTGAGTCGGCTCAAAGCGGGAGCGCTGTTTTGGAGTCGGCTCAAAGCGGGAGCGCTGTTTTGAGTCGGCTCAAAGCGGGAGCGCTGTTTTGAGTCGGCTCAAAGCAGGAGCGCTGTTTTGAGTCGGCTCAAAGCGGGAGCGCTGTTTTGAGTCGGCTCAAAGCGGGAGCGCTGTTTTGAGTCGGCTCAAAGCGGGAGCGCTGTTTTGAGTCGGCTCAAAGCGGGAGCGCTGTTTTGAGTCGGCTCAAAGCAGGAGCGCTGTTTTGAGTCGGCTCAAAGCAGGAGCGCTGTTTTGAGTCGGCTCAAAGCAGGAGCGCTGTTTTGAGTCGGCTCAAAGCAGGAGCGCTGTTTTGAGTCGGCTCAAAGCGGGAGCGCTGTTTTGAGTCGGCTCAAAGCGGGAGCGCTGTTTTGAGTCGGCTCAAAGCGGGAGCGCTGTTTTGAGTCGGCTCAAAGCGGGAGCGCTGTTTTGAGTCGGCTCAAAGCGGGAGCGCTGTTTTGAGTCGGCTCAAAGCAGGAGCGCTGTTTTGAGTCGGCTCAAAGCAGGAGCGCTTTTTTGAGTCGGCTCAAAGCAGGAGCGCTGTATTGAGTCGGCTCAAAGCAGGAGCGCTGTTTTGAGTCGGCTCAAAGCAGGAGCGCTGTTTTGAGTCGGCTCAAAGCAGGAGCGCTGTTTTGAGTCGGCTCAAAGCAGGAGCGCTGTTTTGAGTCGGCTCAAAGCAGGAGCGCTGTTTTGAGTCGGCTCAAAGCAGGAGCGCTGTTTTGAGTCGGCTCAAAGCAGGAGCGCTGTTTTGAGTCGGCTCAAAGCAGGAGCGCTGTTTTGAGTCGGCTCAAAGCAGGAGCGCTGTTTTGAGTCGGCTCAAAGCAGGAGCGCTGTTTTGAGTCGGCTCAAAGCAGGAGCGCTGTTTTGAGTCGGCTCAAAGCGGGAGCGCTGTTTTGAGTCGGCTCAAAGCGGGAGCGCTGTTTTGAGTCGGCTCAAAGCGGGAGCGCTGTTTTGAGTCGGCTCAAAGCGGGAGCGCTGTTTTGAGTCGGCTCAAAGCGGGAGCGCTGTTTTGAGTCGGCTCAAAGCAGGAGCGCTGTTTTGAGTCGGCTCAAAGCAGGAGCTGTTTTGAGTCGGCTCAAAGCGGGAGCGCTGTTTTGAGTCGGCTCAAAGCGGGAGCGCTGTTTTGAGTCGGCTCAAAGCGGGAGCGCTGTTTTGAGTCGGCTCAAAGCGGGAGCGCTGTTTTGAGTCGGCTCAAAGCGGGAGCGCTGTTTTGAGTCGGCTCAAAACGGGAGCGCTGTTTTGGAGTCGGCTCAAAGCGGGAGCGCTGTTTTGAGTGGGCTCAAAGCGGGAGCGCTGTTTTGAGTCGGCTCAAAGCGGGAGCGCTGTTTTGAGTCGGCTCAAAGCGGGAGCGCTGTTTTGAGTCGGCTCAAAGCGGGAGCGCTGTTTTGGAGTCGGCTCAAAGCGGGAGCGCTGTTTTGAGTCGGCTCAAAGCGGGAGCGCTGTTTTGAGTCGGCTCAAAGCAGGAGCGCTGTTTTGAGTCGGCTCAAAGCGGGAGCGCTGTTTTGAGTCGGCTCAAAGCGGGAGCGCTGTTTTGAGTCGGCTCAAAGCAGGAGCGCTGTTTTGAGTCGGCTCAAAGCAGGAGCGCTGTTTTGAGTCGGCTCAAAGCAGGAGCGCTGTTTTGAGTCGGCTCAAAGCAGGAGCGCTGTTTTGAGTCGGCTCAAAGCAGGAGCGCTGTTTTGAGTCGGCTCAAAGCAGGAGCGCTGTTTTGAGTCGGCTCAAAGCAGGAGCGCTGTTTTGAGTCGGCTCAAAGCAGGAGCGCTGTTTTGAGTCGGCTCAAAGCAGGAGCGCTGTTTTGAGTCGGCTCAAAGCGGGAGCGCTGTTTTGAGTCGGCTCAAAGCAGGAGCGCTGTTTTGAGTCGGCTCAAAGCAGGAGCGCTGTTTTGAGTCGGCTCAAAGCAGGAGCGCTGTTTTGAGTCGGCTCAAAGCAGGAGCGCTGTACACACGCTTGCAGGTCACAGCAGCAACAGCACCTCTCACTCCCTCCCTCTCCACTTGCACCAAACCCTGGTCACCCCCCCCATCCCGCCCCCTTCCTCTCCACCACCATCACATCTCAGGCTGCGTTTATCTCGACCATGCGGCAGCAGCGGTATACACACGCTCGCAGGTCGCATCAGCGACAAGAGCCCTCACTCGCTCCCTCTTCTCCAACCCTCGTGAGCGCTCTGTTCCATCCCACTGCTCCATCCCTCTGCTCCAGCACTGTGCTCTCTTCTCCGCCCTCCCACTCTCCTGCCTCGAACTCTCCTCCCTCTCTGCCCCCTCTCACTCCCTCCTCTCCAACTCTCATGAGCCATCCCTCCCATAACCACATTCCTCGCTCTCTCACTTCTCTCAAACGGTCCTTTGTATTGATTCAGGAAGGGTACAGACATGCAGTTTTTATCCGGTGATACCCTTAATCCTTCTCTCTGTCTCCCACTTCCCACCCCCGCACGTTGTGACTTCACTTTTTCTTTCAATCTTTGTTCTTCTCCCTTGTCCGCATGCTACTCATTCATTCCACTGCATCCATTCCCTCTGTTCCTTTCATCCTCGTTACAGACAGTGCGAGTAGCAGCAGTGCAGCCACATCAGACGCGATTGAATCACTCCGCATGCAGGTACGCCACGTGTAGTGAGGGTGTTTTTGAGACGTCTCAAAAACACCCTCACTACAGTGCAGCCACATCAGACACGATTGAATCACTCCGCATGCAGGTACGCCACGTTTACGCAAGGCAGGATATCAGGAGATCGCAACCAGGCTGACTGACACACACACACACACACACACACACACACACACACACACACACACACACACACGCACACACACGCACACACACACACACACACAGACACACACACACACACACACACACACACACACACACACACACACACACACACACACACACACACAGAAAAATCACCACACCCATTTGTGTCCATGTAAACCCTTGTCTTTCACTTTCTCCACATCTCCATGTATCATCCCTGCCCTTCAGGTCCTAGCCCACTTCAGGCCGACAGTATCACTTCGCACGTCTTTATCACCCATCCCTCCCTTCAGGTGCTAGCCATGTGTAACGCGCCTCCCTCTGAATACGCCTGCGTCTTCACCAGTGGTGCCACGTCAGCACTCAAAACGGTCGGCGAGGCGTTCAGATGGGCGGCAGGCAGCGAGCTGGCGATGACGCTGGACAACCACAACTCGGTTCTAGGCATCAGAGAGTAAGGGAGTTGTGCATAGTTGAAAATGTAGTGAGAAATGAAGAGGAAACCTAGCTGGGTCAGTCAGTGTGGCGTTCAGGTGGGCGGCAGGCAGCGAGCTGGCGATGACGCTGGACAACCACAACTCGGTTCTAGGCATCAGAGAGCAAGGGTTGGGGGGGGTGGGGATTAGGAGAAGGTTTTTGTGGTGTGGAGGGAAGAAGGTTACTTTAGCTGAGATGATGGAAGAGGAGGAGGCGTTCAGATGGACAGAAGGCAGTGAGGTGGCGATGGTGCTGGACAACCACAACTCGGTAGTGGGGATGAGAGAGTAAGAATGGTTCCGAATCTGTGTTCTTGACATTCTGTCTCTGGTGGTTTTCCTTCCTTTCTTTTGTGTGTTACCGTGATACTCTGTATTATGATAGTGTCTAATTTGATGTGCTACTATGCACTGTTCAATGCGTTGCTGTGTGCAGGTATGCACTTAGAGCTGGTGCTACTGTGTCTGTGGTTGATATCCGCTATGAGAATGAGTATATGGGGGATGATGAGGACGAAGAGGAGGAAGAGGAGGAGGAGGAAGAAGGGGGTGATGAGGATGAGAGTGAGAGGGGGAGTGAGGCTGGGAGTGAGAATGGGAGTGGGAGTGAGAGTGGGAGTGAGAATGGGAGTGGAAATGAGAATGGGAGTGAGAATGGGAGTGAGAATGGAAATGACAAACAGGAGAGGAGAGTGGAGGAGGGGGGAGTGGATGAAGTGAGGATAATGAAGCAGGAAGTTAAGGAAGAGGAGGGGAGGAGATGATATAGAACAGGAGGAGGAAGAAGAAGAAGCAGAGGAGGGTGAAGAAGAAGAAGCAGAGGAGGAGGAGGTGGAAGAAACAGAGGAAGAGGAGGAGGAGGAGGAGGAGGAGGAGGAGGAGGAGGAGGAGGAGGAGGAGGAGGAGGAGGAGGAGGAGGAGGAGGAGGAGGAGGAGGAGGAGGAGGAGGAGGAGGAGGAGGAGGAAGAGGATGAAGATGAGGAGGAAGAGGATGAAGAGGATAGGAGGGTGTGGTGTGAGGTTGGGTAGTGGGAGGAAGGTCCGATTGGCATTGCGTGGTAGAAGGAGCAAACGTAAGGAAGCAGATGATGATGAGGAGGAGGAGGAGGAGGAGGAGGAGGAGGAGGAGAAGGAGGAGGAGGAGGAGGAGGAGGAGGAGGAGGCGGAGGAGGAGGAGGAGGAGGAGGAGGAGGAGGAGGAGGAGGAGGAGGAGGAGGAGGAGGAGGAGGAGGAGGAAGAAGAAGAAGAAGAAGATGAAGAGGAGGAGAAGGTGGGAGTGAGGGTGGGAGTGAGGGTGGGAGTGAGGGTGGGAGTGAGGGTGGGAGGTAAGAAGAAAGTTCGGGTAGCCTTACCCGCGAACAGCAGGAATAAGCGCAAGGGAGCATCAGAGGAGGCAGAGGAAGAGGAGGAGGAAGAAGAGGAGGAAGAGGAAGAAGAAGTGGAAGAAGAGGAGGATGAGGATGAGGAAGAGGAGGAGGAGGGAAAGGTGGATAAGGTGGGAGCGCGGGTAAGCAGTAGGAGGCAGGTTCGACTGGCTTTGCCTGGCAGCAGCAAGAACAAACGCAAGGGAGCAGCAACGGAAGAGAAGGAGGAGGACGAGGAAGAGGAAGAAGAGGAAGAAGAGGAAGAGGAAAAAGAAGAGGAGGGAGAGGAGGAAGAAGAGGAGGAAAAGGTGGGAGTGTGGGTGGGCAGCAGGAGGAAGGTTCGATTGGCTTTACCTGGCATCAAGAGCAAGCGCAAGGGAGCAGGGGAGGGTAAGGAAGAGGAAGAGGATGGGGATGGGGATGAGGAAAAGGACCAAGAAGGGGAGGAGGAAGAAAAGGAAGAGAAATTGGATGGAATCAACCTCTCCCATTCCACTGTTCCTGCCGAACCAGTGCTTAACGAACCACAACATGGCAGGTCTGGTTCCGAGCCTGGGCAGGAGGCTCGGCCAGGTGTAGCCGCTCCAGGTGTGGTGGTTGGGGATGGTGAGGAGGCTGGGGCAGGTGAGGCTCATACTGGTGGGGCTGCTACAGGTGTGGCGGCTGGGGATGGTGAGGCTAGGGCAGCTGGGATTGAGGGAGGTGGGGCTGGGGCGGGTGGGAGTGGGGCAGGTGAGACTGGGGAAGGTGGGACTGGGGAAGGTGGGACTGGGGAAGGTGGGACTGGGGAAGGTGGGACTGCAAGAAGCAGTGAGGAGGAGAAACGTGGGGGAGGGGCCACGAGAACAGGTCATGCGAAACCTTTTGAGTCAACTCAAACTTCAAGCAATAGAAGGGCAAGGGGCGCGAGAGAGCTTAGGGTGACCGGTGGGAAGGGTGGTGAAGTGGCTGAGGGAATGGTGGGTGGAAGGGTGGATGGAAGGGTGGATGGAAAAGTGGATGGAAGGATGGATGGTTGTGCAAAGGACACGGTTCTTCAAGGGGTGGTGGAGGGGTTATCTCTTCACCTGGTGAACCGATTTTCACGGGCGCCAAGAGAAGGAAAGGCACCAACAGCATCTGTCGCACGCAGTAAAGACGCTGTGTTTGAGCCACCTCAAAAGGTGGTTTCAGAAGGGCAGCAGGCGTTGCCGTTTGTGCCGTGCCTGTTTGCGATGCCTGCAGAGAGCAATTTCAGCGGGGAGAAGCTCGATTTGAGGCTGGTGAGGGCGTTGAAGGAGGAGAGGTGTTTGGATGGGTGGGAGGGTTGGCGGCAAGAGGATAGAGGAGTGGAGAATGGTGATGGTAGGAGAAAGGGCAGGGGGAGAGGGAAAAGGAGAAGCGAGGAGGGATGTGAGAAGCGAACTGAGGAGGGAAGTGAGAGAAACAGCAACGGAGGAGGTCAGAGAAACGCTGTTCCCTCTCAAACTCAAGAGCAGCAGCAGCAGCAGCAGCAGCATCAGCAGCAGAAACAGCAGCAGTCGTGGGGTTCCCTCTGGGGTTGGCTGGGAGGGGGTCGCGGCACCCCTAGTGCTGATGATAATCGAGGACAGGCCAATAGCAGTGGCACGACTGGTCCCGATGGGGGTGGTGGGAAGGCCCGGGATTCCAATGCTGTTGGCACGGACAGCAGTGGCAGGGAGATTGGCAGGGGGATTGGCAGGGGGATTGGCAGGGGGATTGGCAGCAATGAAGCTGATATGGGTGCTGGTGGTGATGACCCTCGTGAAAACGCTCCCGCTTCTCCACGGCGCTGGTTCGTGCTTCTTGACGCCGCCAAAGCTGCTGCCTCGGACCCTCCGGACCTCTCTCAGTGCCCTGCTGACTTCGTTGCACTCTCGTTTTACAAGGTGGGCTGACCCCTCCTCTCCATGATCCCTCCTTTCCATACGTCCTCTCCATGATCCCTCCTTTCCATACGTCCTCTCCATGCCCTGTCCTTCTTCGTTCTCTTGAGTCCTATCCACTCTCTTCATCCTCCCTCGTAGTGTAGTGTATCCATCGCTCATTCCATCTCTCCTCCTGACATGCTCCCCTGCGTACTTCGTCTCCCTCTCCATCCCTCTCCATCCCTCTCCATCCCTCTCCATCCCTCTCGCTATCACTAGACCAGTGCGTTCTTTCAAACACTTACCCTTGATTCTTAAACATCGCGTGTTTCAAACCCGTTTGTTCCACAATAAGCAGATCTTTGGATTCCCTACAGGCCTTGGAGCCCTTATCATCCGGCGAGGTATTTATGTCCTTTTGTCCCATGTTCTTCATCTCGAATGCTTCGTTCTTCCCATACTTACGTGTCTTGCTTCTTATAAGCTTCTTTTTTTGTGCCTTTCTGCTCACATGCTTCTTCAGGCCTCTTTCTTCCCAAAACCCTTGGTGCTATTATCCGACTTCCGTTTACTATATCTCGTCCCTTCCCTCCCTCCGCTTCTGCATGACCACCTGTGCCTCTCTCCCAGATGCTGCTTTCATTCTTCGCAAGCCCTACTTCAGTGGAGGTGCGCGTTGAATGTGCACGACACAGTAACAATCTGACAGAGTGGCATGGCGACACTAGGAGCTAGCTAGCATAGTGAACTTGTGCCTCTCATCACATGCTGTGTATATGTAAAAAAAAAAAAAAAAAAAAAACACACACACTTTTTGTGCCTCTCATCACATGCTGTGTATATGTTTTTGAGAATTCTCAAAAAGCATACACTTGTGCCTCTCATCATCACATGCTGCTTCCATTCTTCGCAAGTCGCTCAGTCAAGTCGCATGGCAACTTGCTTTTGCCTCTCTCTCAAATGCTGTTTCCATTCTCTGCAAGCCCTATCTCAGTGGAGGTACGAGTTGCATGTGCTTGTTGGCATGGGCCGCATGCAGTAGCAGGAATGGTAGCAAGAATGTGATGACTGGGATGGTGCAATCGCATTGTGACATGTGGTGGTGGCGACATGTGGTAACATGAGATGTTGGTAACCCTTGGTAACATTTGTCCAACAAGTCAACCCTTCATAGAACCGAGCTGGTTTTTGAGAATTCTCAAAAGCACTTTTTCAACCTCTCTCCATTCTCCACATCCTCTCTCCATTCTCCACATCCTCTCTCCACTTCCCTGTCACAGGCACCGTGGCAGCAGTGTTTACAAACTCCGACTTTGTCTCTCTGCGCCCGTTATTGGAAGCACAGTGGGAGCACGGCACCCTGCCCTTCCTCCAGACCATCCCCACCCTTTAGTAAATTATTTCCCTCTCCTCTCTTCCCTCTTCTCACCCTACAGGCACCGTGGCAGCAGTTTTTGCAGACTCCGATTTTGTCTCTCTGCGCCCATCCATAGAAGCACAGTGGGAGGACGGCACCCTCCCCTTCCTCCAGCTAGCAGCAGAGCTCCCGCCAGGCCTCGCCCTGGTCTCCCGCCTCTCCTTCTCTGCCATCCAACGGTGAGCATTGTGCCCCTCCCCTCCTGGTGTTTGTTGCGAGTCTGTATTTTCGAGCCAGAGTGGGTGGGAGAATGGCACTCTTCTCTCCCCTTCCTCCAGCTAGCAGCAGGGCTCCTGCCAGGCTTCGCCCTGGTCTCCCGCCTCTCCTTCTCTGCCATCCAATGGTGAGCTGAGTTCTCGTCACGTCACCCAGTCTATGCCCCTTGATGCTTGTTACTAGCCTGTACTCGCGATTCATAGTGGGTGGGAGCACGGTACCTTGCCCTTCCTCCAACTGGCAGCAGAGCTCCCTCCGGGTCTCGCCCTGGTCTCGCGCCTCTCCTTCTCTCCCATTAAGCGGTGAGCATTGCGCTCCTTCCCTTCCTCCAGCTCGCAGCGGAGCTCCCGCCAGGCCTCGCCCTGGTCTCCTGCCTCTCCTTCTCTGCCATCCAACGGTGAGCGCCTACCACCCAAAACCTTTCTCCTAACCAGTTCTTACTCAGTACTGGCCTGTACTCTTGAAGCACAGTGGAGGGCGGCACGCTCCCCTTCCTCCAGCGTGCAGCAGAGCTCCCTCCTGGCATTGCCTTGGTCTATCATCTTTCCTTCTCCGCCATCCAACAGTCTTCGTCTGAAAACCAAAACTTGGTCACTTCTCTCCCCTCCATCCCTTTCTTCCTTGTCTCCTCTCTTGCCCTCCTCACCACCTCGCACCTCCTCTACCTCTGCCACTGCAACGCCCAGCCCGTCCGCACCGTGTACAGCTGCCACACAGCGCCGCTGCTGCTGCGGAGGCCTGAGACGCCTCTAAAGAGAGTGGCGAAAATCCCAGTCGCCGTTCACCTGTCTGAGAACTCCCTGCGTGCCGTCGCCCATAAGCTGACCAAGTCGACGTCCTGTTTATCGATGGTCAACTCGTCCGTACTGGCGGCTGGCAGGAAGTGAAAGGAGAGGTAGATGGAAAGGATCTCCTCAGTTCTGTATATGGTCTCGTAGCGGTTATTGCTCAGGGTCATCTCAGCCTGCTTTAATCGTGAGTTCCTAGCTTGTTTCATTCGTGATGAGGGCTCCTTCATCCCTTCTGTAAGGTAGTGCTTGTTATGTGTGGTGTAGGGCCCTCTCGGCCTATGCCAAATAGGAGCTTAGATTTATTCGTGTAAGAATGTACAGTCGTATAAGCACTAAAATGTGCCTTAGAGCTTGAAGCACGGGTTTGCAGTGCGACCTAGGGGATATGCGACAGATAATTCAAGCTCTAAAGCAAGTTTAGTGCTTATACGATTGTACATTCCTACACGAATAAATCCAAGTCCTTATTTGGCGTAGGCTGAGTGGGCCTCACACATAACAAGCTCTACGTTACAGAAGGGCTGAGAATTCCCTCATTACGAACGGAACAAGTAAAAAACTCGCGACAAAAGCAGGACGAGATGACACTGAGCAAAAACCGCTACAAGACCATATATAGAATCGAGGAGATCCTTCCCATCCCCCTCTCCTTTCACCTATCTAGTATTATATCATACTTCTGTTGTCTCCCCTTCCTCCCACCCCATCTAGTACCCACGTCTCCTCTCTTGCGCTCTTCACCGCCTCTCGCCTCCTCTCCCTGCATCACTCCAATGGCCAGCGCGTCTGGATTGTGTATGGAAGGGACAGGGCGCTGCTGCTGCTGAGGCCTGAGGCGCCTCACAGCACAGTGCCTGGGAGGGACAGAGCGCTGCTGCTGCTGAGTCTTGAGGCGTCTCAACAGTTGCTTTCCCCTCCATTCCTGTTGTCTCTCCAACCCCTTACAGCCACGTCTCGTCACTTGCTCTCTGCGAATTGAGAAGTCTCAGAAGGCAGTGCCTGGGAGGGATGGGGCCTTGCTGCTGCTGAGGCTTGAGACGTCTCAAAACACTCCCCCTCTTCATCCCCTCCTCTCCCCTATTTCACCCCTCCCTCTCCCCAACCTCTCCCCAAACCCTACAGCCACGTCTCCTCTCTCGCGCTCTTCACTGCCTCTCACCTCCTCTCCCTCTGCCACTCCAACGGGCAACGCGTCTGCATCGTGTACGGAAGGCTCAGTGCGCTGCTGCTGCGACTTGAGAAGAGTAAAGAGATGGATGGGCAGAGAAGGGGGGAGGAAGGAGAGGCGACGCGAAAGCAGCAGGGGGGAGTGGTGGCGTTTAATCTGAAGCGCAGCGATGGGTCGTGGGTGGGGCACAAGGAAGTTGAAAAGCTAGCAGCTATCCACAGCTTTCATCTCCGGGTAAGTCGTTGATTTCCCAGCGTACTACATGCTGCTCTCAGAAGCCGCAGCGATGGGTCGTGGGTGGGGCACGAGGAGGTTGAGAAGCTGGCAGCCATCCACAGCATTCATCTCCAGGTAAGTGGTGGCAGCACCAGAGGCATCTGCGGCAATTTTTGAGGCGCCTCAAAAAGCACCAGAGGCATCTGCAGCTGTTGCATGCTTACAAGCAAAGCAAAACTCTCAACCCAACGCAAACCACCCATCCTCCCCTTTTCTCCTCTCCTCAGACCGGCTGCTTCTGCAACCCTGGCGCCTGTGCCAAGCACTTGCGCCTCTCCCACGCCCACCTCCGCCAAAACTACGAGGCGGGGCATGTGTGTTGGGATGACAACGACGTGATTGCCGGGCGGCCAACTGGCGCCGTGCGAATCTCCTTTGGACACCTGTCAACCATTGATGATGTGGAGGTGAGTTTGGTGCTAACTGTTTGTTCATCCAATCTCCTTTGGACACCTGTCGACCATTGATGACATGGAGGCGAGCTGATTTGAGTGTGTGTTTTGTTTGTTCATTGATTCTCCTTTCGATTTTACATCTGTCGAGGATGACTGTTTACGTTGACCAGGAATTGTTTTCTGCCCGCATCACATCTCCCTCTTTTCCAACACAGATTCCTCTGCTGCCCAATGCAAACTCCTGAACCTTGCCTCTGCCCCAACGCAAACCCCCCACGCACACACCTGTTGTCCAACTGCTGCAGGCCTTCCTCTCCATCCAAACGTGCTTTGTGGAGCTTTGAGACCTCTCAAAGTGTTAAGGTGTCTCAAATTCCCAACGCAAACCTCTCACTCGCACCCGTTGTCCAAATGCTGCAGGCCTTCCTCGCCTTCATCCAAACATGCTTTGTGGAGCTGCCACGTCAGCACTCTCCACCTCAGCAAAGCCCACGTCACCACGGTCCACCTCAGCATGGCAACTCTTCTGCCTCTGCTGCTGCTGCTGCCACTACTGCTGCCACTGCTACTGCTTCCGCTTCTGCATCGTCTGTTACAGCCGCTACAGCCATTGTTGCTACTGTTGCTGCTGCTGCTGGGGCGAGGGGAAGCTGGATATAGGGCGTTTCACTTTTCAGTCGACTTTTGAGCCGACTTCTGAGTTGACTCAAAAGTCTGCTGCTGCTGTGGGCAAGTGGAAGCTGGATATAGGGCGTTTCACTAATGGAATAGCAAGCCATTCTGAGCATCTGGAGGAGCTTACACAATCGAATGTGACTGCACCAAGTGTGACTAATGCGAATCGTCCGCACGCAGATGTGCGTCTGCGGAGTGTGACAGTAGAGGGGCTGTTTGTGTATCCGATCAAGTCATGTGCTCCCATGCGAGTGGAAGCATGGCCGCTGGGACCCACGGGTAAGCCCTTGATACGTGGCTGGCATGGGCAATATATTATGTTATATTTTATTAAGCATGGCATGGTACGTTGTGGTATGGAGTGTCTTGTCTCATTATCGGCCCCTCGGGAACTCAGAATCCTGATCACCCCCACCCATGCCATGCCAACCCCATGCCATGCCAACCATACCATTCCCCATCCACCAGGGCTACTGCATTATCGGGAAGGACTCATTATCAACCCCTTGAGAACTCCTCCCAGAGCCAATAAACCATTCACCCCCCACCCTCATGCCATGCCAACCCCACGCCATGCCCTGCCAACCATGCCGTATGCCTCATCACTGTCACCAGGTCTGCTGCATCACCGAGAATGGCTCATCATTAACTCCTTGGGCACACCGTTGAGATCCAATATGCTGTGGCCCTCCCCCCATGGTGTCCCAACCGTAACCCATCCTGTGCCCCCCATGTCGCCCATGCCACCAGGTTTGCTGCATGACCGCGAGTGGCTCATCATCAACCCCTTGAGAACTCCTCTCTGCCCCAACATGCTGTGGTCCTCCCATGTTGTGTGTGCCCCCCCTCAATCACCCCTCCCATGTTGTGTGTGCCCCCCCTCAATCACCCCTCCCATGTTGTGTGTGCCCCCCCTCAATCACCCCTCCCATGTTGTCCCCCCTCAATCACCCCTCCCTTACCACCAGGTCTGCTGCATGACCGCGAGTGGCTCATTATCAACCCCTTGGGAACTCCATTGAGGCCCAACCGGGTGAGTTGTTTGCACTGCTGGCAGTGGCAACCCCTCTCTCATTAATGCCCCCACGCCCCAGCCATTTGCTTAGCAGTTCACTGCACTGTACCTCCTCCTGAGTGTCTCATCAGTTGCCCCATCCTCTTAAGAACTCCTCTTCTTAAACCCAACTGAGTGAGCAACAATTACCGGCAGCTGTAGCGTCCCCACTCCGTACGGCCCCCGCCCCGCCCCACCACATGCCCCTTATCGCGCTTCACCGCACCGGACCTCACTTCACCGCTCTTGGCCAGTCTTCACGCCCGCCTCTCTCGTTCCTGCTCTCTTCACCCTCTCCCCTTCATTTAAGCCACGGTTGCCCCTTCCCCTTCTCCCCCACACAACCAGGTTCCCTCTCTCTTCTGCCTCCGACCATCCATCAACCTCTCCTCACGCCTTTTCTCCATCCACCTGACTCGCCTATCCCTTTCCTCTCATCTCCTAGTCCATCTGCTTCTGCTCGTGCCCGATTTAAGTGAATTAAAAAAAAAATATATATATATATATATTATTATTATTATTATTATTATTATTATTATTATTATTATTATTATTATTATTATTATTATTATTATTATTATTATTATTATTATAATCCACGTTTCTTGTTTCCTTCCCTTCCCTCCCCCTCCCCACAATCAGGTCCCCTCCCTCTACCGCCTCCGACCCTCCATCGACCTCGCTTCACGCCTCCTCTCCATCCACCTCAGTCCCAAAGACTCTCCGCCTGCCCAGGCTCCCCTCCAATTGCCCATTGACACGTGGCCTGATGCCAGGCTGGACGGGGTGCGAGTGTGCGGTGACAGGTGCGTGACTGGGTACGGACGGCTATGGATGGGTGTGGTGTGGATGGGTACGGAGGGCTGTGTAGTGTAGGTTTGGTGTGTGTGTTATGTGGGTCAAGTTCAGGTGTCGCGCACCGACGCTCATTTTCTACCCAGGTTAGCTAGTGTAGGAGCACATGTGAATTCAAGCAAGTGACCTGCACCATTAACATGCCCCTCTCTCATGTCGCACGCATGCCCTTTTTTTCTCACTCACTCACTCACTCACTCACCCATTCCATCTCCTCCATTGTGTTGTCTCCCCTCGTCATCCACATCAGCGTCCATGTGACAGTGTACCCTGCTGACGTGGCAGCCTGGCTCTCCGCCGCCCTCGGCACGCCATGTCAGCTCGTGAGGCTCCTGCCGCACGCCCGCCAGCAGAAGAAGCTGCCAAGAAGCATCCTCGGCAATCAGGACAACACCAGAAACAATCAGATCACTGAAAATCGCTCCAGCAACGATGATTCTTCCCAATCTGCATCCCCCTCTTTCTCCCTCAAAGCCAAACCCTCCTCCTCCACCACCTCCTCCTCCTCATCTCTCTCCTCTTCGTCCTCGTCTCCCTCACTCTCTCTAGCCAATGAAGCTCAGTTACTAGTGGTCTCATCAGCCAGTCTGGCAGATCTGCAGAAGAGAGTGGAGCATGGAACAGTGGAAGGGGTGGTGGAAGGAGGAGAAGGGAGGAAAACGGAAGGGAGAACAGGAGTGGATGAGGCCTTTCAAACTGAGCAAACTGAGCAATTCAAAATGGGCTCAAACAAGAGTGGTTCCTCCTCGTCTCTAGGGTCTTATTCTGCCCCGCTTCCCTGCTGCCCGGCCGATTGGAGCCCGAGGCTCAGTAACCCTGCCGAACCTAATGGTCTGGGCTCAGGCTCGGGAATGGATCGAGGTGATCCGGCACAAGCAGTAGCAGCAGCTGCCACGTCAGCAGGGCTCCTTCATGCTGCTGACGTGGACAGAGATGTGGAGGCAGATGCCTCATGGGCATTGCGGTTTCGGCCCAACGTCGTGGTTGGTGGTGCTGACGTGGCGCCGTACGATGAGGACAGGTGGAAGCAGCTGGTTGGTCAAGACGTCTCCTTTGCGGTGAGCAGAGCTTGACGCTTCACCCAGTTCTCTGCAGACTATCTCACACATGCTGACGTTTGTCAACACACAAAAATAATCACAGTCCTTGTTTCTGCCGTTGTCCCTTTCAACATTCCTCCTTCCTTCCCCTCCTCGCCTCACCATTTTCTTTCCTTCAGTCCCTAGTTCCCTGCAGAAGGTGTGCCGTTATCAACACAGACCTGCCACAGCTGTAATATATCTCTCCCTCGTACCTCTTCCTTATTATAATCCCCTCCTTCCGCCCCCCTGTACCCCCATGCTCCCTCATCCTGCTTCCCCTTCAGTCCCTTGCTCCCTGCAGCAGGTGTGCCATCATCAATACAGACCCTGCAACTGGCCAATCATCAGCTCCGGAGCCTCTCCGGACCCTATCTGGTTACCGCAGGCAAAAGGCAAACATCAACTTTGGTGTCCTCTTTACAGTCAGGCTCCATCGAAAGCTCAACACAGAAACTAGTTTGTTGTACCCAGACTCGTTGGTGAATGTGGCAAATGAAGCAGGAGCGCCAGGAGATAGGACTAATGGAGGGCCATCGGTATCTGTCGGCCAAACTCTTGCAATCATGTATGGATGATATTTTCTTAATAGAAATATACGTGCTGGCAGGATCCCTGACACATAACCATTGAATCTGATTGGACAAGAATTTACATGAGGCTTAAACGGACAATACCCTTGTTTTGATAATGAAAATGGACATGTGAACCATCGCCGTTGACAATAGTCGTTTACTCAATCGAGGGAATAATTTTGTGTCTCAATCCGAACGAAATTACGAACCTGCTCGGGGCAAGGAAATCCGGCAGTGTGGGCTGGTGTTTCATCGCGATTGGGGGATCAGGTTGCTTTCGGGCTTGGGTGATGGGGTTCCTCCCTCCTGCCCGAACTGGAAGCTCGGAGCATTCCTGGGGGCTTGGCTCCACGTCAGCAGAAAATCCACGCCTGCGAATGGCATTTCTCGTGGTGGCACGCTTCGGATGCCGTCACCCATTCCCAATGACCACGTCACGCATTCAAGCTCGTCCTATGCGGGGAGTGTATGCCGCATTCGTACCGTGTATCTTTCCAGCAGCTAAGAGCCGGGTTTGCAATATTTGCTGACGTTTAGTTCGTACCGAGTATAGAGACCTGCAGTTGTTCTTTGGGATGGCATTAAGTTTCGAACTACAGCGTTTCAATCTTGCCACGTCTCGCCAAGATGCCAATGTAAACAGATCTCACAACCCAGATCTTTGAGTGTGCAGGGGAGTGCACTGGCCTTGACCCCATCTCTTCAAAACAAAGTCCCTACCCTCCTAAATTCTCCTCACGCTTCAATAGCCCTTTAGGAGACTGCGAGGTCTATCACTGGCACGTTCGTGAACAGCCAGTACCACTTCGGCTAAGAGAAAAGGAAGCTCTTCGAAGCCTCTCCCTGTTCACACGTGCCAGTCAGACGCCATGGCTCTCTCCCTGTGCGCGAAGACGAGCCTCGTCTCGGCCGCGGGCCTGCAGCAGCGCAGCGCTGCCCAGGAAAGAAGGCAGACCGGCGCCTCGCTCTCAGCGTCGCTCGCCCACTCAGCCGCTGCTCCGTCGTTCAAGGCTTTCGATGGCATGCGCGCTAACTCCGCCTCCTCCTCCGCCTCGTCCTTCCTGTCCGGCGCTAAGGTTGCTGCGCCTGTGGCCGCGGAGGCTCCGGCTGCTGCTGCTGCTGAGAAGGGTTTCACCCTGACCATTGTGGCGGGCAGGAACAGCAAGAAGCTTCAAGGAAGGAAGCTTCGCGTCGCCGGTGAGTAACGGTGAATTTGAGCCAATGAGCTCGAAATCGTGTTTTGTTGTGCACATTTCCGTGGATGCCGCTTTATACTTCACCAAAAATGAAATTCGTAACGAAACTATTGGATTCTATATTACCCTCCCCTCTGGCAACCACAATTTCCACGGCATTCTCCCGTCTACCTTGCACAATGCTTATTGTTCTTGTTTTGCGAACTAACAACTGGACTGGACCGTTGAATTTGTTTTTCTCTCCAGTTATTGGAGGCGGTCCGGCGGGAGGGTGCGCGGCGGAGACGCTGGCGGAGAACGGCATCGAGACGTTCCTCATCGAGCGCAAGCTCGACAACGCTAAGCCGTGCGGTGGCGCCATCCCCCTCTGCATGGTCGACGAGTTCCAGGTAACCCTTTTTCGCTAACTGTCGTGAAGTTTTGTTTTGCTCCTAGTGCCTAACCTCCGGGTTCTGATTTTCCAGAGTCTTCGAATCACGATTCCGTACGACAGCTTTAAATCCTTCGTCATTTCAACGGATCCGCTTCGCCATTGCTCCTTGCTGGTTCTGCAATCACGGAGCAAGTAATTCTGAAACGCCTCACAGAAAATGAAAACGCTTATCCTAATACTCTCGTACAGCTGTGTCTGGAGATCATCAAGAATCCCAGTGCTCGACGCGTTCCCAGCGCCTCACGAATTCCTATCCTCTCTTTCTCGTCCTCCCTTTCTCTCCCTTTTCTTTTTCCTCTCCTTTTCCTTTCCATTGTGGCAATTCCTGTGTCCCTGCAGCTCCCTCAGGACATCATCGACAGGCGTGTCACGAAGATGAAGATGATCTTGCCCTCCAACGTCGAGGTGTTTCCTCACATTTCTCTCTCCTTTCTTCGTCCTTTCCCTTGTTTTCTTCTTCCCTGCAGTTGCCTCAGGAGATCATCGACAGGCGCGTGACCAAGATGAAGATGATTTCGCCTTCCAACGTGGAGGTGGACGTTGGTCGCACGCTCGGCAAGGAGGAGTACATCGGCATGGTGCGCCGCGAGGTGCTCGACGCCTTCCTGCGCAACCGCGCCCAGTCGTACGGCGCGACGGTGATCAACGGGCTGTATCTGAGGATGGACGTGCCCAAGGACGACGACAGCCCCTACGTCATCCACTACTCCGACTACGCCGGTGACTCCAAGGTCCGTACGAGCCAGTCAGGAAAGGCTTTCGGATGTTCCCAGGTTTTATTGGAACCAGCTGTTTAGTTGGCTTGTGCGTGTCACTCGTAACCGCGTCGAAAACTAACGTGGTTGTTTGCTGACGTGTCTGTTTCAACATCTGTGATTGCTGTTCTGCCTTGCGATTGCTCAATGCAGGTCGGCGTGCCCAAGACTCTGGAGGTTGACGCCGTGATTGGCGCTGACGGCGCCAACAGCAGGGTGGCTAAGGACATTGACGCGGGTGACTACGACTACGCCATTGCGTTCCAGGTAAGCTCACAAGCTTCAGTCTTCCATGAATCTGTGTAATTTTTTTAGGCGCCTTTGAGGTGGGTGTATGTGGTCAATGACGTGCCCGTTGGACTATGACTCAACCTCGTCATACTGCTTGTACACCACAGGAGCGCATCCGCCTGCCCGGGGACAAGATGGCATATTACGAAGACCTGGCGGAGATGTATGTAGGCGACCTACCCTACCCAACCTACTCACTTTATCGCACCCTACTGTACCTTTCTCTACCGCACCCTACAGGAGCGCATCCGCCGTGAGGACAAGATGGCGTACTACGAGGACCTCGCCGAGATGTACGTGGGCGATGATGTGTCGCCCGGTGCCTCACTCCGCCCTTCCCGTACCCACCCTTCCCACCCTACTCACCCTGCCGCACCCTATTTTACCCTACTCTACCGCACTCAACAGGAGCGCATTCGCCTGCCGGAGGACAAGATGGCATACTATGAGGACCTCGCGGAGATGTATGTCGGCGATGACGTGTCGCCCGACTTCTACGGCTGGGTGTTCCCCAAGTGCGACCACGTGGCTGTGGGCACCGGCACCGTCATCAACAAGCCCGCCATCAAGCAGTACCAGACCGCCACCAGGTGAGCACGCGATGCTGTCAGTGGGTTACAGACGATTGGGGGTTATCAGCAGTGAGCTGACTTCTACGGTTGGGTGTTCTACCGGCACGGTCATCAGCAAGCCCGCCATCAAGCAGTACCAGACCGCCACCAGGTGCGTGCATGGAGATGCGTGTCGCTTCTTTTGTAGGTGGTTTTGAGGTGGTGTTTATTTGACTCTGAATGCGATTTCTGGGCACCGGCACCGCCATCAACAAGCCCGCCATCAAGCAGTACCAGACCGCCACCAGGTGCGTGCGTGGGTAAAAGATCCATGTGCAGGCACACCCCATTCCCACCTCCCCCCCCCCCCCATTGGTTCAGATGTCAGGCGCTCACAATCTCTTATCAACAGCACGCAATTGTCTGAGCATTCCTCTCCACACTCTCTATCGCTTTTCTCTGCCCCTCATCCGTGTGGAGGCTCAGCTCACCCCATCCCCGAGCACCCCCGCCCCTTCAGTTGACCTTTGAGGCTGCTCACATTCCTCTTTCTCCGGACTCCCAACCTCTTGTCATTGTCTCCCTTTGAATCAGGAACCGCGCCAAGGACAAAATTGAGGGTGGCAAGATCATCTGTGTGGAGGCTCACCCCATCCCCGAGCACCCGCGCCCCGTTTGGTTGTCATTCGCAGCTCCTCATATCCCGTATTCTTCGGACTATCCACCTCTTGTCCTGTCTTTTCCCCTCAGGAACCGCGCCAAGGACGCCCAAAATCGAGGGCGGCAAGATCATCCGTGTGGAGGCGCACCCCATCCCCGACTCGAGCACACCCGCCCCCGCCAGTCAACCTTTGAGGCATCTCACAACCTCGTTCTGTGCTCTCTCCACCTCTTGTCCCTGTCTTTTCTCCTCAGGAACCGCGCCAAGGACGCCCAAAATCGAGGGCGGCAAGATCATCCGTGTGGAGGCTCACCCCATCCCCGAGCACCCGCGCCCCCGCCGGACGTCCAACCGTGTGGCTCTGGTTGGCGATGCTGCCGGCTACGTCACCAAGTGCTCAGGCGAGGTGGGTTTCTGCTGCTACGGCGGTTGGGCTCGGCAATGTAGGTCTGAGAAGAGTATGCGCATTGTGAAAGAGACGCAAAGGCCCATTAGCCATACATCCTGTACCGCACTCCACACGCCATTGCACCATACTCCACCTCCCATTACACTCTCTTTAACCTCCGTAACCCCCCTTGGACGTGCCCATCTCCCCCTCTACCAATCATACCATGCCTGGAGCTAACACATAACACCACTCTTTCCCCCTGCTCACCCCCTGTGTCTCTCGAGGGTATCTACTTTGCGGCAAATCGGGGTGCATGGCAGCAGAGGCAATTGCAGAGGGGTCTGAGAAGGGCACGCGCATGATCAACGAGTTTTAAGGCCCCTTGTTGCACCCTTCCCGCTCTCTTTCAACCGCGCCCTACCTTGTGCTAACCCTTTGCACCGCTCTCCACTCCACTCTCCACGCCCCAGGGCATCTACTTTGCGGCCAAGTCGGGCCGCATGGCAGCGGAGGCGATCGCAGAGGGGTCTGAGAACGGCACGCGCATGATCAATGAGTCTGACCTGCGTGTGTACCTGGACAAGTGGGACAAGAAGTACTGGGCCACCTACAAGGTGAGGTCCTTCATTCATGCTCAGCTATTGTAAGAGCAACTTGGTGCGCTGTGAGTGAGTGCATGTTGAGTCACTTGCATGGTGAACGAGTCTGACCTGTATGTGTGTTCGGACAAGTGGGAAAAGAAGTACCGGGCCACCTACCAGGTTGAGATTGTCCTTCACACTCCCATTGCTGCATGAAAACTTGCTGCACGTTCAGATGTAGTGGCAGTAGCAACCACAGGAGGTTAGGGAGCAGGAGGAGATGCTTAAAGGGTGTTGCCTATCATGCATTTACATCTGTGTCTGGATCTACTTCTTTCCCTTCGTGTTTTCCATTCCAGGTGCTGGACATTCTCCAGAAGGTGTTTTACCGCTCCAACCCCGCTCGTGAGGCGTTTGTGGAAATGTGCGCGGACGACTACGTGCAGAAGATGACATTCGACAGCTACCTCTACAAGACAGTTGTGCCCGGCAACCCCCTTGATGACCTCAAGCTGGCTGTCAACACCATCGGCAGCCTGATTCGCGCGAACGCGCTCCGCAAGGTCGCTCTCGAGAAGGCCTAATTGTTGTGGCTGTTATGAGTAGTCTAGATGTGTATACTGGTTACATTACATTGTTGCATTTACATTAACTGTTGAGAATCACAAAATCCGGGAAAAGGGGGACCTACAGCAGTAGGGGGTCATGTATTCTAGGTCATGAACTGAGAGATTGAGAAATGGGGAACAATTGTGCTGAGTTGTGAGCAGCACATACAAGTCGCCAATATTCTGCACGGTTATGTTTTTCATTGTTGAAATCTGTAGGATATAAACAGAATATGGATATAAACAAAACGCCAATACTGTATCACTTTACCAGCAGCTCAATTGTCTTTTTACAAGTCGGAAAAAGAAACATGCTAAAATCGGATACCAGTGGTTTGTAAAACCTGTCGCCCGTCACACCTCCACTCAATCGTAGTCCACTTCAGCACAAGTGCCAAGACTGGCGCGCATGCGAAAGCATCTACGTCTGGACTAAGCCACTTCAGGCGCCTTCCCACTTGTGACCTGTCACACTCGTTTCGATCGAGCCGCCGCCAACGCAAGGAGCGCAAGGCATGTCTCTGACTGGAGGTCAATCACGCTTGCATGCAGCCTCGTCGAATCGCGCACGTTTCAACGAATCTTGCCAACGAATCGTAAATGGCTCGCATAGTATCAGAGATGTTCTTCACCCCGCCAAAACGTTCGCGAAAGAGCGCCGCAGCAGTCGTCGCAAGCACTGCTTGGCTCCCTGGCAGAGAGTTCAGAAAGACACGCGACGTGCGGGCGTCTCCGCAGCATGATGCTTCGGCATACCCGCTCCCCCTTTTTCGAACAGCGTTCTTAAGGACATTAGAACATGGAGGGTCCCGGAGCTTATGCGTCCCCTAGTACAGTCGCGCGTTCCTGAGCCTATGCGCCTGTTTTCCGTCGAAGCGCGAAACCCCAAGAATGGCCACCGCTACGCAGACTTCTCTTGAGGCGCCACAAAAGACGACTAGTCTGACTTCCGAGAGCCATGAATCATACGGCTCGTTTCAGGCAAGCCCTGAAACATCAGACCCAGGGCACTACAAGCATGATGGATGTTCAAGTTGAAAACGTTGAGCCTAGTGGTGGCTCCCGGACCGAAGCCGTCACGGTGCCTTTACTGCCAGCACCGGCAGTGACGGCGCCACCCTATGGCGCGTATTCGCAGGGGGGGTATTGTGAGTGGCACCCCGGCATCACGGGGTCTTCGGCATCAACGTGGCAGATGGGCCCCGGGGGGTCTTCGGAGTGGCACACGGGCCTGTGCAGCTTCTGCTACAACCACGATTCAGCGAGAGGCAATGATGGCAAAATCTGTACGTCCCGTCACTTGTTTCATGTTTTCTCAGTTCCTCCGTCCCCAATTACTGTTCTTTGCTTTTCCTACTCTGATTCCTTTCCTTGCCTTTGCTCCTTGATTCGTTGCCTTTCCTTGCCTTTGCTCTGTTCTTATCATTGCGTATGTCCTTCTCGTCCCATATCGCAGGCTGCCTGGGTTTGTTTTGCCCCTGTGTGCTATTCGGCATCAACCGGGAAATGCTGACAGGCAACCCGGAGTGCTGTGGCTGCTGCTGCATCTTCTTTCTCTTGGATTGTGTTGTGCAGTCCGCTGCGTCAAATGGGGTTCCTTATGCGTACTATCTGCTCCCGTTGTTCACATCGTTTACGCGAACAGAGATCAGAAACAGATACGGCGTTCAGGTGCGTTCTGCATGTGGTTTCACGAAATTTTATCACATTTGTGGTGGCTCTCACGAGGAACAATTGAAGGTTCAGGCATCAAACTACCGGATTTTTCTTCTTCTTTCTTCCAATGCTGAAGTTTACTTCAAAATAGAAGAAAAACGATGGCTGGCAGGCTCTCTGTTAATAACATATTCCGTGGGCCTGCTTTTGCTTTACAGAGTGAGGCGAAATACTGCTGCAGAGATCCGGATCCAGTCTGCGAGAGGGTGTGTGATTGCTGCATCCACACCTGGTGCCTAGAATGTGCTCTCTGCCAGGAGTCTCGTGAGCTTATGCGTAGAACAACTGCTGGAAAGGGAAGGTATCCCTTGGAGAAGCCTACTGTAGCTCCTCTGACACAGACAATGATAATGTAGCGTGTTTTCATGAGTTTGTGCGTCAAGAGTAAAGACGGTTTTGCATGCCAGTTAATTCCTTTGTGAGGGAAATGACACCTCTTTCACAAGTAGCTTACAGGGATTGTCTTGTCTGCATCCTGTGGTACAACTCGGGAGTGTACCAACCTCGTTTTACCAAGTTTCCTGCCTATGCAGGGTTCCCATTCCTATCTAGTGATGGTGGTGAGAACTCAATTCCGCTACGTGCTTCTGAGAGTAACATATGCAGGTAGGTATGGTACATTAATCTTACGGTATGTGCAAGGCATGGGTATTGAAAATGACACGTAGGTCAGTTAGGAGATTTTGCGCCCGAACATGTCCCCAATATTGTTTTTTTCAAAGTTGAAAACCTTCACCGGGATTTCTTGCTATACTTTTCTAGGCCTTCTAAACTGTCACAATAATAACTTACACCTGAGTTATTTGTTTATTTCGTCTAGTTGCAAGCGGGGCTTCTTGTGGTCTGTACAAATTCCACCTGTTGTACCCTCCCTCGACTATTCAACAGCCCGTTGTCCCCGCTGTCCGTCTCCGTCTCCCTTCCGTCTGTCACATTTTTGGTTCGGTTCGGACAGACAGGATTCCCTTCATTTCATGCTCCCCTGGGCAACCTCAAACCTTACTCCATCTGAGCGAAAAGCTATTGCATTGCAGCATAGGTTCTCAAACGTGACAATAGTGCCCTAGATTTCAAGCTCGTAGCTGTTAGGCGATTTTCCCTGTTTGGGTTTCCGCATCGTTGGAAAGTGTTAAGCATCGAGGCTTGCCCTAGAAGGTGTGCTGTTTTAGAACGTGTGTGTCTGCTGATAGCAACTTTAGGGTTTCTGGAGCAGTTGAAACAGGATGGCTGCTGTTGCAGCGAACAGCAATCTTCCGAGAAGAATAATCAAGGTAGAAATACAGTGGCAATTGCTTGACAGGATTATCGCAGTGCCATCATTGTTGTACTTACATCATTATTCGTTTTGCCATATCGTTTTCAGGAAACTCAACGGCTGTTGAGCGAGCCTGGTACGTGATTGCTTTGACGTCGCTTTCACATCGCTTTCTGTTTACTTGTTTAGCGTCCGTCTTCTAGGCTTGTCTAAATTTCTGACGCATGTACTTCGCGTGGCTGCAGCTCCGGGTATCAGTGCATCACCTTCGGAAGAAAACCTTCGTTATTTCAATGTGATGATATTGGGGCCCTCTCAGTCTCCTTATGAGGGTAAGCCGCTGCGTGGTCAAGTCCGTCTCTACTTAGATAGCAGTGCTTCAAAACTTTCATCTGAGGCGTCGTGGGGCTGTCACAGGTGGAATCTTCAAGCTCGAGTTGTTTCTACCCGAAGAGTATCCTATGGCTCCTCCGAAGGTACCTTTGATCTTCTTTCGCCTCTTGTATGTACCTTGCAGTTTTGATTGCTTATGCGCGTGTGAGAGTGGAATTTTGCAGGTTCGTTTTCTCACAAGAATCTACCATCCAAATATCGATAAGGTACGACCTGCTGGTTACATGTGCAAGAGCATCCGTTCATTTTATGCACGGAAAACTGATACCTTATCGTCCGCCCTTCCACAACAGCTTGGCCGCATCTGCTTGGATATTTTGAAGGACAAGTGGAGTCCAGCTCTTCAGATTCGAACAGTTCTTTTGAGGTGAGATGTTTTTTTCCAGCTGACAAGCATGTAGTACAACCGTTTTTTTTCTCGGATGCTGGTTGCTGAAGGCGCTCTTTATTCGACTATGCAGTATCCAAGCTCTGCTGAGTGCCCCAAACCCTGATGATCCGCTGGCTGACAATGTTGCCAAGCACTGGAAGTCGAACGAAGCAGAGGCAGTTGCAACAGGTAATTAGGCTGAATAGTCGTTTTCGTGTGTTGCCTTCGTAGTATCTACTGTACCTAATTTGTACTTGTGTTTGGTCTGCTAACGTGCAGCTAAAGAATGGACACAATTGTATGCTACTGGGGCCTGACGGCCAGCAGTTAAGAACATGCTGCAGGCCTGGTTGAGTGGATGGGGCTTCTGGTTTTTTCCATACATGGGACATGTCCATAACTGCTGGTGAAGACAAATCTGAGACGGTATTTACTGATAAGGTAGATTATATCTGAGACTAGAGGCGGAATTTCCATGTAAAATCGTAGGAAATCAAATCAATTCACCTTTCAAGTGAAAGTAGTGTGGATTGCAGAGAGATTCCACCAGAGTGTGAAACGGCAAAATGGCACAATCAAGGGTCTTTTTATTTACAATAACTAGTAGAAACCGGCTGTAATGCATCACATCATCAACCTGTACAAACCTGTACAACTGTACAAAGAGTCTGGTGCACACTACCGTAAGATTTTACCCCCACCACCTCCTCCCTTGCTATTCCTCAAGTAGGACAAAACCCCTTCCAGCATGGAGTGTAGTGCTGCTGATCCTCACAAGCTGAAGATTCTCCATAACCGCGCACTACATGCACCCATTTGCACCGCCTCATCACAACCCTGTTCATCCCATCCCAACAGCTGGGCCTGCAGCCATCTCTAATCCACCTCAACCACCAACAGCCTCAGCACCACCAATAGGCTCAAAATCTTCACTCATCCCAACCCCTGCCTGCATCTACCCCCCCTCCAACCCTATCTTGCTACTTCTCACTCAACCCTAATCCATCTCCTCACTCTTGGGACCCTTCTCATCATCCCCACCACCACCAGCAGCACCACCCATAACCCATCCCCACCATCTCTCCACCTCCTCCCCCCCACCCTGCTGGTACATGCGGGAGAAGATGGGAGGGCAGATTCCTTCCTCAAACTCGTCCACCCGCACCACCTACTCATCCACTCATTGCAACCCTTCTCCACCCACACTTCAACCTGCACCACCAATGATCAATCAACCTCCAGCCTAATCCACCTCCTCAATCTTGGGACCCTTCTCACCACTCCCACCACCACCACCAGGACCAGCACCGCCCATCGATTCATCACCACCCATCTCTCCACCTCCTGCCCCACCCTGCTGCTGATACATGCGGGAGAAGATGGGTGAGCAAATCCCCTCCAGCTCCTTCTGCTTGTCCTCGAATTCGTCCACCTCCGCCAGCTGGTTGTGGTCCAGCCACTCTACAGTGCTGGTAACCGCATCCTCCACCTTCTTCTTGTCCGCTGCTGGCAGCTTGGACCCCACGTTCTCATCCCTGCGCAGCCAAAGACAGGAAGTACAGAATCAAATCTCATGTCATCAGTCATTCTCCACCGTCTTGTTATCCGCCGGCGACTTGGGAGCCCACGCTCTCATCCCTGACCATAAATGAAACGAGGGGGAAAAGGTGAGAATACAGGGAAAATGAAAATACAAGTGTTTATCAAACACCAAGCACCAGACCGACCATCGTAAACACTGAAATTACCGGATGATGCTGTACTTGAGGTTCTCAAGACCATTTTTCGCCAAATGGTGTTGCGGATGTTGTACATGTAGTTCTCGAGAACATTCTTCGCTTCAACCTTCTTCTTCACCTGCTCGTCCTCATCCTTGTACCGCTCTGCTTGCTGCACCAACCGCTCTATCTCGCTTCTCCCTCCTTGCTCCCGACCAAACCACCCTCAGGAACTCACCAGATGGTGGTAACCAGCTTACTGCAAGGTAACCATCTCACCAGATGGTGGTAACCAGCTCACCACATGTGGTAACCAGACTCACCGGATGGTGTTTCTGATGTTGTAAGTATAGTTCTCAAGAGCATTCTTCGCTTCGACCTTCTTCTTCACCTGCTCGTCCTCCTCCTTGTACCGCTCTGCTTCCTGCACCAACCGCTCTATATCCTCCTTGCTCAGCCGCCCCTTGTCATTCGTGATCGTGATCTTATTCTTGTGCCCCGTCGTCTTATCCTCCGCACTGACGTTCAAAATCCCGTTCGCGTCAATATCAAAGGTCACATTAATCTGCGGGATCCCCCGTGGCGCCGGTGGAATCTCTGACAGCTCGAACTTCCCGAGGAGATTGTTATCCTTAGTCCGCGAGCGCTCCCCCTCGAACACCTGAATCAGCACCCCCGGCTGGTTGTCCGAAAACGTCGAGAAAACCTGCTCTTTCTTCGTCGGAATCGTGGTATTCCGCGGGATCAGCACCGTCATCACCCCTCCGGCCGTCTCGAGACCGAGGGAAAGCGGGGTCACATCGAGCAACAGCAAGTCTTGAACCCGCTCGCTGCCCTGTCCGGTGAGAATTGCTGCTTGCACGGCTGCGCCGTATGCGACGGCCTCGTCGGGATTGATGCTCTTGCAGAGGTCCTTCCCGTGAAAGAGGTCTTGCAGCAGCTGCTGCACCTTGGGAATGCGAGTCGAGCCACCCACCAATACGACATCATGAATCTGTGATTTGCTCAGCTTGGCGTCTGCAAGGCATTTTTCCACCGGCTCCATGCTCTGGTGTGCAGGGCAGGGGTGAAAGAGGGCAGAGCAGAAAGGGGAAAGGGGATGTCGTATGGATAAGCACATAAACCATGCAACATGCGACGGCCTTGTCGGGGTTGATGCTCTTGCAGAGCTCCTTCCCGTGGAAGAGGTCTTGCAGCAGCTGCTGCACCTTGGGGATGCGCGTAGAGCCACCAACTAAAACGACGTCATGGATTTGAGAATTGCTCAGCTTGGCATCAGCGAGGCATTTCTCAACTGGTTCTTCCATGCTCTGATGGACGGGGAGAAGCGGGAGGGGCAGAAGAAGCAGTGAGAAGTGGTGGGAAGTGCAGTGATGGCCTCGTCCGGGTTGATGCTCTTGCAGAGGTCCTTCCCATGGAACAGGTCTTGGAGTAGCTGCTTGGGGGAGGACAGGAAGGGGAAAGGGGGATGCGGGTGGAACCGCCAACGAGAAATACGTCATGGATCTGGGACTTGCTGAGCTTGGCATCGGAGAGACACTTTTCCACTGGCTCCATGCCCTGGTGTGTCAGGGGCGAAAGAGAGCAGTACAGAAGGGGGTAATTCCTTCCCGGTATTGGAGCAGCTGCTGCACCTTGGGATGCAGGTGGACCCGCCGACCAGAACGACATCGTGGATTTGAGATTTGCTGAGCTTGGCGTCTGCGAGGCATTTCTCCACCGGCTCCAAGCTCTGGTGGGGTGAGAGGGTTGGGAGCAGGAGAAGCAGGAGATTGGTAAAGAGAGAGGGCGCGGGTGGAACCGCATCCTCTCTCTGGTCGATCTCGATGGTCATCTGTGCCATGGAGGAGAGGAGTGGGTGCGCTTGCCTATCTATCTTACCTCGCTATTCCACTGAGATGCTTCCCAGTAATGGTGCTGTAGATATCAATCCCGTTGTAGACAGACTTGACCTCAATGGTCGTCTGCGCCGTGGAGGAGAGGTTGCGCTTGGCCCTCACACAGGGAGCGAGGGGATGGGCAAGGCTTTCCCAGGGAATAGAGGGGTTGAGCTTGCATTGCATCGAGTGTTGACTGGTAACCAGGATACGTACCTTCCGGAACAGGTCCATGTTCAATTCTTCAAAGCGCGCCCGGGTGATGGTGCTGTAAAAGTCAATTCCTTCGTACAGCGAATCAATCTCGATGGTGGTCTGCGCCGTGGAGGATAGGGTGCGCTTGGCCCGCTCGCAGGCCGTTTTAAGACGGCGGATGGCGCGCGGATTACTGCTCATGTCCTTCTTGTGCTTGCGCTTGAACTCCTGAGGGAACAAACATGAGAGAGCAGCGGCGGAAAGGGAGGAGCAGGGGGGATAAGGGATGAGCGTGAGTTAGGGGATTGCTGGTGACGTCCTTCTTGTGCTTGCGCTTGAACTCCTGATGGTGGTGGGGAACGAGGGCAAAGGTAGTGCGAAAGTGAGCACGCAGAGAGGAAGCAGGATGCAGTCCAATCCATCCAAGTAATTCAAAAGCGTGAGCTGACAAGCCGATTGTCGAAGTCCTCCCCTCCCCAGAAAGTATCTCCGTCATCATCTTCACCTCAAAAATCCCCTCCTCTTGTGCTACTAGCACTTGGAATTCTCTATCTCCTGCAAAACCCCCCTCACCTGCAAAACCCCCCTCACCTGCAAAACCCCCCTCACCTGCAAGCCCCCCCTCACCTGCAAGCCCCCCCTCACCTGCACAACGAAGCTGACCAGCCGGTTGACGAAGTCCTCCCCTCCCAAGCGAGTATCCCCTGCCGTCGCCTTCACCTCAAAAATCCCCTCCTCCTGTGCTACTAGCCCCTGCAATTCGACTTATGAGTCGACTCAAAAGTCATCCCCTCCTCCTGTGCTACTAGCCCCTGCAATTCTCTCTCACCCGGGAATCCCCACCCACCTGCAAGCCTCCACCGCGTATCCCCCGCCAATGCCTTCACCTCCAATATCCCCTGCTCCTGTGCTACTACCACCATATGCAACCTTCATTCACTCACCTGCACGAAGAAGCTGACAAGCCGGTTGTCAAAATCCTCCCCTCCCAAGTGCGAATCCCCCGCCGATGCCTTCCCCTCCAACATCCCCTCCTCGATACTCAGATTCGACACATCAAACGCCCCGCCGCCCAGATTGAAAATCAGCATGTTATTCTCGCCCTTCCGGCTAGCCTCTGCGAATCTCCCTCACATGCATCCCCTCCCTCACATGCATCCCCTCCCTCACATGCATCCCCTCCCTCACCTGCAAACCCCTGTCGCCTGCAAACTCCCCCTCACCTGTACAAAGAAGCTGACGAGTCGGTTGTCAAAGTCCTCCCCTCCCAAATGAGTATCCCCCGCCCTTAAGACTCGCCCCTGCGTTCTCTCACCTGCAAACCCCCCCTCACCTGTACAAAGAAGCTGACCAGCCGGTTGTCAAAGTCCTCCCCTCCCAAGTGTGTATCCCCCGCTGTCGCCTTAACCTCGAAAATCCCCTCCTCGATACTCAGAATCGACACGTCAAACGTCCCGCCGCCCAGGTCGAAAATCAGTACATTGTTCTCGCCCTTTCGGCTCGCCTTCTTATCCAACCCGTACGCGATAGCCGCCGCCGTCGGCTCGTTGATTATCCTCATTACATTCAGCCCCGCTATAACTCCTGCGTCTTTCGTCGCCTGCCGCTGCGAGTCGTTGAAATAGGCCGGGACCGTAACCACCGCATCTTTAATCTTCTTCCCGAGAAACGTTTCGGCAATTTCTTTCATCTTGGTGAGAACCATCGAGGAAACTTCCTCCGGAGCGAATTGCTTGCGCTCGCCCTTGTACTGTACTTCTATCATGGGTTTATCTCCGGGACCGGAAAAGACCTTGAAGGGCCAGTGCTTCATGTCGGCCTGGACTGTAGGGTCCGAGAAACGCCGCCCGATGAGCCGCTTGGCATCTGAAGAGCAAGAGTAGAAGGAAGAGGAGGAGTAGGGGTGAGAGAGGCAAGGCAGGAACGGGGGAGTGGGAGAGAGAGAAGGGGGGGAGACAGCTAGAAGAGATGCGAGGTGAGGAGGAAGGAAAGAGGGTACTAGGTCACCTCAGTACTGCCTGTTAACCCCCTTGATTTGAATCATGGGTTTCTCCCCTGGAAAAGAGGGATGAGGAGGGAGGAAGAAGCATCAGTCATATGAACAAGTACGAACACAAATACGAGAACACAAACAAGTGAATCAATAAGGCTGCTCTGAGCGTCTCAGTTCAAAATACCCAACCAGTTACCACCACACTGCACAAACAAAAAGCTGACAAAACATAATCACACTCATCAGAGGTCAACAATCACGACTACCACTAAGCATTACACTTACCGAAAACCGTGTTGGTGGGATTCATAGCCACTTGGTTCTTAGCAGCATCGCCAATCAACCGCTCAGTGTCAGTGAATGCTACAAACGAGGGCGTGGTGCGGTTGCCCTGGTCATTCGCTATAATCTCAACCCGGTCATGCTGCCACACGCCCACGCAGCTGTACGTTGTGCCTAAATCGATGCCTATGGCCGTCTCGCCGCTCCCAGGCATGATGGCGTGACTGTACCGAGCGGACCGGGGCAAAACGGACGGACGGAAGTCACTTGATGCTACGAACGGAGCTGCTAGTAACGGAGATCAGAAGAGCAGCGCACTATTACGCTACGGGCGATTGTTCTCCGGAATAGTGGAGTGCGAAAAACGGTCGAGAGAGCAACAAAGGTCCCGAGAGCGGAGAGATAAGCAGCAAGCGAAGCTCCCGTAGTTACGCAAGAATCAGCCACGAAAGAACGAGTTTCGCCAGCGAACGAGTATGCACGACACAGATAGAGAGAGGGAGGAAGAGAGGACCCTGGTCACACGAATCGCGCTAGGGATCTCGTGACTCGGGCAAGCAATCTCGCGACTCGGGCTAGCAATCTCGCGGCGAGCTATCTCCCTCGAAATCAAGAAGCCTCTCGAAGAAGGTTAAAAAAAATGCTGCATGCCATTGCGAAGATCACGAAAGGTCAGCAGCTTTCCGCGTCGCGCCGCTTGCGAACGAATCACGGTGGTGCCGTGGGATCGAGAAGGTTCGCAATGGACGGTCCATTGCGATGCTTTATCCTTCCGGAGGTATGTTGAAACCTCGTGCAGCGAAAACGATAGTTCGCGCGTCGACGGCGTTCGGAAACGTCGTGCTCGAGACGAATGCCGTCGGGATTTTTCGCGAAGCTTCCAGCGAGCCATTTTCGACCGGCGCTTCGTGGCCAGTGCATGCATGCGTGATAAGCATATGCCCTGGCAGCTCTATCAAAACGAAAAATGACAGCCTCCCACGTGGCGACGTGTCGTAAGAAGACGCATTACAAGAGTGGCTTCGAGTCGAGTCGGTAAAGGCTTTCGCATGCGCAGCAGTCTATGGAGCAGTGGTGACGCGGTCTACGGAATTAGCACCCCACAATGCAAGGCGAAACACAAGTACCCGATTTTATCATGTTTCACTACTGGTAATGGTGTTTGTGTTACCCACGTAAAGCTGCTGAGTAGGAGTTCAGAAAAAATAGAAAGATGTGCTGGCAACAAAAAGGAAGGAGCTAATGATGTGCTGCATCTCACCAATCTGTGGTACGGACATCCAAACGCACAACAGTTTTTCCACCACCAGCCCACACCTAATTGGCTAATCAAAATGATGACCCAATAAGCACTGATATTGCTGAAGCCAGCTCAAATGCAGGCAATAAGTTACAAGAACTACTACAGATACGTGCCCATAGTCAAGCAAGAAATTATGAGGGCAAAACATGCTAGCCTGTCATTGTCTGTGTCAAAGGAGCTACAGTAGGCTTTTCCAGAGGATACCTTCCCTTTCCAGCAGTCGTTCTACGCATAAGCTCGCGAGACTCCTGGCAAAGAGCACACCCCAGGCAATAGGTGTGGATGAGGCAATCACACACCCTCTCGAAGACTGGGTGCGGATCCCTGCATACCAATTTCGCCTCACTCTGTAAAGCAAAACGCAGGACCAAGGGAGAGAGAGGAAACCAAAGCCGTCAACATGTAAAAGAAGTGTTGTAAAAGGTGGTTTGATGCCTGAACCAAAAAACGTTTTCCTGTGAGAGCCACCAGATATGTTAGGAAAATAATGTTGTGCTGAAACCACACAAGATACGCACCTGAAGGCCATATCTGTTCCTGATCGCTGTTCGTGTAGGCGACGTGAACAACGGGAACAGATAGATCACAGCAGGATACCCATTTGTCATGTTGGCAACGGTCTCCACAGCAAAATTCAGAAGAAAGAAGCTGCAGCAGCAGCGACAGAACTCGTTCTCGTCGCCTGTCAGCATTTCCCGGTTAATGCCGAATAGCACACACGGGCAAAAACAACCCAGGCAACCTGGCATGGGAAGAGAAGGAGATACGCATAAGAAAAAAGCAGCGAAACCAAGGAGCGAAAGTGATCGAGAAAGGAAACAGATAAGGAAAAAAAAATGACATCGGCGGCTGGACGGATCGAGGGAACGACGATTTTGTGTATGAAATACCAATGAATGATTTCATGAGACAAGGTGACGGGACATACAGATTTTGCAATCGTTGCCGCTCGCTGGGTCGGCGTTGTCGAAGTCGCACAGGCCCGTGTGTGCCACACTGGCCCCATTGACCTCCCGTGCGAACACTCGCCATGATCTAGTGGCGCCGTCACTGGCGGTGCTGACAGTATCGGTGCTGGCAGTAGAGGCACCGTGACGGCTTCGGGGTCACCACCATCACGTGCAGCGTGTTCAACATCTTTACCATTCTCGTTGTTACCTGATTCTGAGGCTTCATGCCCTGCCTGAAACGAGGTGTAAGGTTCATGGCTCTCGGAAGTCAGACTGGTCGTCTGCGTAACGACACCCATTCTTGAGCTTTACGCGCAGCCCCTATACGGAAAACAGGCGCAAAGCATCGGCACAAGTTGCAAAACATTTACTGTCGTGATAAATACTGCAGCGAAGCCCCTACGACGATCCGGGCTTGGGGGGGTGTGGTGAGGAAGAATGGTCCTGTCCCGAGCCCCGCAACTGAGCCCCACACAGTGATGGGATCACGCGGACGCTGCTTACGGCGTCGTTGTCGCCCGCGGAACGCCCAGCAATACAGTACAAATTGCGAGAAAGCAGATCGTACAGCGATATCCGCGGTAATGCCGCCTTTCACCAGCCCTCCCAAATCGCTGTACGATCTTACAAATTGTTCATCTGTACGACTGGGAGGGCTGATGAAAGGTTGTGAGGTTGCGCCAGATGGAGAGGTAAGTAACTCTCCCTCCTTGTCAGCGGGTTATCGCTGTAAAGTGGCATATTTTCTGGAGCAACTTATCAACAGTGGCGCGCAAACAGTGCTAGGATCCAGTGCACACGTAACAAGGCTGGGGGTGCTGGCACCGCTGGGCAGATAGAAACCTCTTGTCGCATGTTTTGGAGCTCTCTAGGGTTTAAACTCGGTATAGGGTCGTGGAAAACAACGGTAGGCTTTAAATCGACTAGAGATGTACACATACCCTAAGATATTATGTATAAACTCACAATGTTCCCCCAACGAAACCCCCAACTTAATCCTCTCTTTACACTAACCCACATTGCCCCTCTACATTTCCCATTAGAGAGAGCTCGAGCTAGAACAGTTTCTGGTATTTCCGGCATTTAGATCTTACCCAGCAGCTACTCTGGTAGCGACTTCATCTGCTCACAGCATATCAGCCACAGCTTCCTGATGCGATTGAAGCAGGCAAATCTCTTAGCAGGCAAAAAAAACTTTACCTCTTTATCTCCAAGGTCCTCAGCTCTAGCTTTCCGGTCAATCCCTTCTTGACCCTCACATTGAATAACCTTCAGGAGTGCAGAAAAGAACAAGGTTCTCAGCTTTGACGTGCAGGAAGAGAGGCATTTTAGAATCCTGGAAGACTTAAAAAGCGGGTTGCAGGATTTAAAAAATTTGAGGATGAAATGACAGGACTTGGCATTGGTGGGATCGGGTATTTGCGGCAGGGCCCATCCACCTTCAGGAATGCCAGGTTCGAGTGCATGGTCAACCCTCCTGCTCGATTCCCCGAGCCGGGTTCAGTCCTCCAGCCTGTACAACAGGTTCGGCAGAGCCCCGATCTCAGTGGTGGAGTGTATGGCTTGGAAGACCCTCAAGTTTGGAAAGAGGCAATCCGAGCCTGGGACTGGCAGACAGTCAACATTCACCAGTTTGAGGTGTGTGATTGTAGGGGAGGCCCAGTGGGATAGGCTCCGCTCGCTAAAGTGACGTCCGTGCAGAGTCAATGACTCTAGAGCAGGAGGGAGAAACGACTGAAGGGTCTGGGCTTGGCTTTGACCATGTTGACCCTGCTGGCCTTGTTGACTTTGACTCTGTTGACCCTGCTGACCCTGCTGACCCTGTTGACTCTGTTGGCTCTGTTGGCTCTGTTGACCCTGCTGCTGGCCTTGTTGACTCTGTTGATCCAGCTGACCTTGCTGACCATGTTGACCCTGTTGGCTATGTTGACCCTGCTGCTGACCTTGCTGACCCTGTTGACCCTGTTGACCGAGTTGACATCCCTGACCCTGCAACAGCTGCTGCTGCTCCTGCTGTTGCTGCTGCTGCTGCTGCTGCCACGCCTCAAATACTTCCCAGTCCACCTCGGAAATACACAGGTCTTTCAAGCATGTCAGATGCCACAGCCCAACACCGAGCCTAAAGCTCAGGCTCGGAACAGCCTTGGGCATATGGAGCCGTATCAGGCTGGGCAGGTGCCTGAGGGATGGGGGATGGGTCCCCCATCGTGCCGCAGTGAGAGTCAACGAAGTCAACAGTTTCAAACCCGCAAAACGAGGTTCATCCAGAGTGCCATTCGTGAAATAAGGCTCGGCCAGATTTCCATCCTCCTCTTCGGTGCCCACAACGCTTGCTGCTGCGAGTTCTCTGCTGCTGTACAGATTCGTCTCTAGTTCCTCCAGCCGTTTTAGCCCCCATATAGAGTCTGGAAGCAATCCGATAAGGGAATCAGTGCTATGGAAGCTAAGGTTGCGGGGAATTCGCAAGCCGCAGCGGGGTACGCACGCCCTGAGGTTGAGAGACAGCTTCCGAAGCGAATGCTCCAAGCCAGAAAACAGGTCCGGGGAGAGGATCGGTGTTTCATGATGCGAAGAGACTAGAGAGTTTATGTGAAGCTCTTGTAACAATTGCAGTTGTGAAAACGGAGCAGAGGAGGCGAAAAACTTCTCGTTTGCGCTGGTGAGGTAAAGTTGAAGGGAACGGAGGTAAGGGAAGGTGGAAGCAAAGGAGGTGTGCGAGAATGAGTTGGAGAGGGGATGGTGTAGAGGGAGGGAGAGGTGGGATAGTAGCCGCTGTTGTTGCTGATGCTGCCGCTGCCGCTGATGCTTCGGGCCTGGAAGCGGTTCCGTGGGTAGGGGTAACTGTCTTGTTGCTCCTGTGGCCGCCGAACCTGCTGAGCCTCCTGAGCCGCCCGAGCTTTCCGAGCCTACCGAGCCTGCGGTCGCCTCGGATGAAGAAACTGCAGGCTCGGTGCCTGCCGCGGCTGGGGAAGGCGAAATTGCGGCTAACAAGTCTGGCAACTCGTCACTCGCTGCGAATCTAAGCATGTCCGTCGTTTGCACATGGAACGACCGGAGGCGCGGGCAGGAATCGAGAATATTGGCAAGGTGTTCGGTCAGGATGGAGTTAAACTCGCTAAGATGGGATCCGAACGAAAGGTCTTGGGAAAACAGGATCTGGATCCGGCAAATGCGCAGCGAGCGACACGTGGCAATGGCGGATAAAGCTTCACGCAGATCCTCGTCATGGAACGGACGTGTCTGGCCAGAAACCATTTTGACGAAGATGGGGATGTTGACGGACGTCAGGTTCGGAAACCGTCTAATCGAGGGAAAAACCATCGACGCGGTTTCCGCGCTAGAGATGCAAAAAATGCACATCACGAGAAGGAAATGTGTAACGCAGATCCAGAGAGAGCCTGCTGGGAAAACGGTCCCCAAGGTGGTGGTGTGGTGTGGTCTGTTTATGAAGGAAAGGCCTATACTAATTATACCGGGAAACTATATCCTAGATCCTTACTTTCAGATTTCTCTCATATTTACCCCCAGGTTTACTCGAAAGGTCCCACTTTCTGGGATTTGGCTCACGCGAGGCCCAAATTATGTTCAAAACTGGTCCTGTAGGGCTCAAATATTGACACGTGTCTATTTCACACCAACAATTTTTGACGGGGCAGAAAAACAATAATACCCCTGGGGAAACCAGGACACTTGTTCGGGAGGGATCAACCCTAAACACGGGAACCCGCCCGGTGTTTAGGGTTGATCCCTCCCGAAATGTATCCCGCGGGCAAAAATTAAACCCCTTGGCTTACGGCATGCCATTCGGGAGCATCAACCCTAAAATTTTAGGGTTGAGGCTCCCTCGGATGGCATCCCATCCGAGATGGTTTTAGTTTTTTTTTTTGCCCGCGATCTGCTTGCTGACTCGATTGCACTGCCTGCTTACGCAGGCAGTGCAATATATTACCCAAATTGTGTCCCGTTTCCCCAGGGGTATTATGTTTGGTTTGCCCCGTATAAAAAACCTTGCACGAAATCGACACGTGTCGTAATTTCTGCCCCGCAGGACCAGTTTTGAACATACTTTGGGCCTCGCGTGAGCAGAATTCCGCAAAGCTGGACTTTTCGGGTAAGTAAACTCGGGATCAAAATTGAGATATTTTTGAAACTGTGGAGCTGCGATGTACTTTCCCAATTATACCAGCAGGATCAGCAAGGGAAAATGATCAGCAGGAGCCTCAGGGGGGAGGGACCCGTGCGAAAGGGAGTTGGGTGGCGAACGGCTTGCCGCAGAAGCTTGGCGAAATTTCATGGGCTCGTTGCGAGTTGCAGTGGCGAAGAGTGACGAGCACTCGCTCTGTGAGTTGGTGCGACAATGTAACGTGTTGCGCAGGGGCCTTTCTCGGGATGGGACGGTTCGGATGACGCTAAGGGCGCGTGACTTTATACAGTGTTTTACAAAACTCGTTTTTTTAGTCGAACTTCTACCATTTGAACCTATGTCGACCTAGGCTCGACAATGTAGATTCATTTTGCTCGAGCCGCTGTTCCTCGCTTCACATGTATGACGAGGCACACAAGAGTTCGAGAATCGAAGTTAAACTTTAGACAGTAACTATCGAGTCGCGCTAAACTTTCGTAGGCTACCCTGTTGGGCGGCGCAGTTCGTGACCGTATCCGGCTTCAGTAACCTGCTACGATGGAAATCGTCAGTGTTGGAAAATTCGTGACGCTTCGTGCGTGCGACGAAGGACACACGATTGGATAAATGTAAATGCAGAAATTCGAATGCAGGTCGACTTCAGTTCAGTGTCCAGCTTCTTTCACACAGTTTAAACTAGTACACACGATTTCCAAACGAGTGGTTTTGCGACATTCACGAAACAGGTTACCAGCAAAAGTTCGACCTCTTTTTCGAACTTTACTGTATAAAGTCACGCGCCCTAAACCGCTCTATCATAGTTACAAGTTTACAACCAGAATGCACCACGAGTCACCACGGAACCAGTGCGAGGCGTGTAGTGTAGTGCAGTCAGTTGGGACGCACAGAGCCGTGGTGATTCGTGGTGCAGACGTTTTGTGAACGTTTGAAAACTATTCTGAACCTACTCGTGTCGAGCCATGTCCTGAACACCCGTCCAGCCTCATTCTACCATCTTACAGTTGGCCCCCCTGATTGTAAGTATCACGGAGAACTACATTGCATGAGTTATAAGTTAGTTCACGTCATTCTCTACACTCACAAATGCAAACGCCCGAGAAGATTGTTAAGTAGGTTACTAGCATATCCTAGGTCAATAATTTCAGTCTCACTTACATTGCAACGTAATTATATGACGTCACATCATGCCGATCTGTGCTCTCCTCTTCGCCGATGCTTCCTTACATACAACATTACGAGGCCGTATCCCAGCAGCAGTAATGGCATGGCAGCGTGATTGCCACGGTTATAAAAGTTTCACTCGCACCGCATCGGCTTGTCACATCATGCCCATCCTTGCTCTCCTCTCCTCCTCCCTTTCCTTCTTGTACTGCGTGCGTTGTCGATGCTTCCTCACACACAACACCACAAGGCAGTAACCAAGCAGCAGTAACGGAAGCGTAATCGCCACAGTTAAGCACGTAACAGTAGCGATTTGCTCGGGAGTAGGTGTAGA